ATTTGTCACCCGTTTGCATCGTCATGCGTGTCAACTTTTGATTTGTTGATTTTTTAGATATCGATATGCATTTAAATCCATCCTTCATTGTTGAGATACTCGTTATGCCAGTTACAGCTAGGATTAATTATAACTGGTTTATTTCAGAAATTATAACTTATTTTTTTAAAATAGAAACACCGTTAATGAGTTGATTCTGTTAGCATAGACCAATTCTAAGTACATCACAATCATGTACTATTACTATTTTGATCATCTTTATAAAAAGCAATGGAAAAAAAAAGCATTAATAATTTGCAGGATTGAGTTCTATAATGGTAAAGAAATTATCGTGATAAAGCAGCTTTGTTATTATAGATTATTTCAATTAGTAATATTGTTTTATAATTTCAAAATTTATATTTTAAAAAGATTAAACAAAAATCAATTTATTATGTTTTACAAAATTTTTTTTGAATATTTAATTTAAATACTTGAAATTATTTTTTTATTAAGTTTTTTTAATGATGCTTCAAACCCTAACAGTCTCGTTTCTAGTAATAACATTAAAACATTTTAATTAAATCAAATGTTTTATTATTATTGAAGAAAAAAATTTAAGATCTTTTGCTTAGATTCTTTATATCAATTTAAAATAAATAAATGTGTCGCACATATGGTAAACTTTGCATCTAAAATTTTATCAAATTTTCTGAAATTCTGATAAGATACCGTTTACATGCTAAAAAATTGAACAATAGTTAATAATATACATGTAGAATCTTATCTGCGCTCAAAAAAGAAAAGAATTGCACAAAGTTCGTGCATGAAAGAGACGCTTTCCACATCAGAATGACGAGTAATTAATCATCTACTGTGCATATATCAAGGTTAAGATTTGGTCCGGCTAATAAGGATAAGGTAGTTACTTCACACATTTAAGAAGATGATAGTTCTATATTTTGGACGTTCAATTTGACGTACGATTCAATGCGTTGACAGTTTAACCAACAGAATGAAATTACTAATTTCGCCGTTTTTTGTTGTTGCGGGTTTTTTTGGTTTTAGTTTTGCATTTAACCATAACATCTTTGAGACTCTCATGTTTCCGAATACGCTCAAATCCCCCAACAAGAAAATTCCTTCATACATAAATAAAGTTCGTGCTGAATCCATAAAAAAAGCATTCCTTCATTCTTACAACGGTTATCGTAAATATGCATGGGGTCATGATGAACTTCGTCCGGTGTCAAATGGAACCGCCAATAATTTTAATTGTTGGGGAGTGACCATAATTGATTCCTTAGATACAATGATTATCATGAATCTTAGGAAAGAATATCAGGAGGCAAGAGAGTTTGTGAAGGAAAATTTAGATTTTGGAATGAAACAAGG